CCCCCCGTCAGCGCCGGCAGCTCCCGGCCCCGCGGCTACGGGAGGGTTAATGAGTCATTAACGGCGGCGCGTGGAAGCTGCGTGTGCCCACCGTCCCGCCGCTGCGCCCTGCCGTGCCGTGCCGCGGGGGAGCGGCTTTTCCCTTTCCCCACCCGGCCGGGTTTGTGCTGCCTTTCAAATCTGGGGTTTTTGGGGTTGTTTTGGGTTTTTTTCCTGTGGTTGCGATAGTGCAAGGCAACGCCGCTCGGCTTTCTGTCAGCTGGTTGGCGTACGCTATGTAAATTGCAGGTTTAAAAGCTCAAATTACAGATTTCCCAGCAAAGTGGGGTTTTATGTTGATATACAACCAGGCAGCCCCTTCCCTGCGCGTTTGCCGTGAGCTCATATGGTAAAAATCCTTTCTGTACTGCGACTCCACTTCCCTGTGTTCCTTTTTGCTAATTTTTGGTTGACTAATTGGCTGTAATTAGGCTCAACTTTTCTGGTGTGTTTTTTTTTTTTTTCCCCGTGGTTAAATCCTCTTGGAGACTTGAGTTTTTCAGAGAGAAACAAGTTTAAAAGTGCTCGACTGCTTGTCTCGCTCAGGTGATGCTTTGCAGCCCGCCTCTTCTCATACTTGGTTGCCCCTTTTGCTGGGAATTATCCTTACAATAAATTGGCTGTGTTGGTTTGAAGGCATTCTTAGTATCGTCAAGGTAAAAATCTGGCAAACGTTGGCATTCTGTGCTTGTGAATCTGCTATGAATCATTCTTGTCTCCTGTGAAATGCACATTTTGTAAACTTACTGGTTTGGGCAAGGAAATTTCAAACTACAGGTTGATTGCAAAATGCTTGTGTTCACTAATCGCGGTATGTGACTGATTGCTTTGGTTTTCTTCTCTCTGCTGAGATGACTTGCAATACCTTGTGTTGCACAGACCAGTGAGCTCTGGACTTTGCCTTAATATTTTCTAGATAAACAGGTTTATGTTAGTAAACGAAGTTTGTGTATTGTAAAAAAGCTTGAAGAGTTGTTTCCTCCATCTCCAGGGAGATGTATTATGTGGGATTATGCAATGCATCTGATTTTCTTCACTATTTAGTTCTCAAGTGGCTAGGTTCTCTCTTCTTCAAGAATTTGCAGATTTGATTGATTATAATGTAAAGGGGTATTTGCTGTGAATTACGCATAACCTGTTATATTGTGCTTTTGTTGGGTAAATCTTTGACTTTTTCTGTTTGAAAGCATAACGTGATAAAGGCTTTTCCCCATATTCCTATGGAGATCTGAAGTCCAAAGCAAGTAGCAGTACCTCCCAAACAAGTCTCACGTACCATTTTCCTTAGATATAGGAATAAAGGAATTTTAATGACTGCTGCTCTTTTATAGTTCTACCCTTTAAATTATTTTTAAAATATGAATGCCATCAAGGAGACGACCATTAAAATTTTCAATAAGAGAAGAGGTCAGGTGTTCTTTTTCTCTCACGGGTTGCGCTGTATCTCAGTTCTGAGGAGCTGCACTCTCTTACAATTCATGTCCTTAATTACCATTAAGGACTTAACAGCATACCTTGGTCTTTAACTGCAGATCTCTGCTTTACGTGAGTTCCTTGTATATCTCATTACATCAGTGGGGTAATTAATGCTCTGCTGTGTGGTTGGTTGGGGTAACAAGGGAAGGGATGCAAGGTAAAAAATCAGCAGCTACACCTCAGTTGTGGCCAACTCCCCATCTCCAGTCGTGTTTGTGCTCCTTTGCCAGCTCCCTCGTTAAGAACTGGCAGCTGGTACCAGTTCTCTGGTTGAAAACCCCAGACTGTGTGGGGGTTAAAACCATATTGTGAGTGGGCTAAACACGTCATGTTTATAGAGTCCTTAATTTTCAGCGATCTCAAGTCTGTCATCAGCAAACGACGATGAGAAATGTGTGTTACAAATCTCTCAAGATGTTCTGCTCTGGAAGGCTTCTGTTGCCCCTGTTGTAGAAGCGGTGACTTTTCCAGTCAGCGAGGTGGTTGCCAAGGTGGCATCAGCTGCAAGGCGATGGCTTGTGGAGTCTCCTGCTCTGATGCTTTCCTCCTGGTGGTACCCTTTCTTCATGCAGCTTTTAACCCAAGTGTTGCACGGTGGCTTTGTGCCAAGCACCCGTCGTGATTTTTGCCGATGAACTAACAGAACACGTGAATTTTGAATTGTTGAAAAGCCGTATTCTTAAAGGCAGACTGAAAGTAAAGGTTTTAGCCTCAGAAGCTTTGCGACAATGTTGGCTTTCTCTTTGAAAGTTGGAAAGCTAAATAAAAATCGTCAGGAAATAACTATCAGGGAGGATCTGCAGTAACACAGCGTATCAGTGAAAGGGGAAATAGAGTACTGGTACCACATTATTTTTGGCTTAGTTTAGGTGTGAAAGAGACCGTGCAAGCCTAAGTTAGTTGCTGTAGTCTTTCTGGAGGGGGATTCACCTCCTTCGAAAATAGATCAGAGGAAGGATCCTCCGGAGGTGTTGTGTTCCTTCTATTGACTATAAACAGAGCATCAGATGACTATCTCGGATGTCTAACTGGGTGTCTGGAGTTCAACGAGCTGTGATTCATCTTGCTTTATTAAGGTAACCGAACTAAAGGTCCCTCAGCACAATTCCTTCAGCTTGAAACAGAGGACGGAACTGCCGGGTGAGCTTCAGGACCCTGCCGAGGTGCTCTGGTAGGACAAAACTGCCCTGAGGTTCCAGGAGCAGGCGGTGGTGCTCCCGGAGCTGAGATTGAGAGCGGAGCTCCTGGACCAAGGGCAGCAGACCTGCCTGGTGAGCTGGAGAGAAAGGAGGTCTTTTTGCTGAGCTGTGCTGCTTCTTTCAAGTTTTAGTTGGCATTTATAGGCATGAATATTTATAGAAACTAATTCTCTCTGTGGGCTCTTGGGTTTGCCAGCTGTGAAATGAAATGAAAGAATTATCTCTAATTTACTTCTGAATATGGGGGTGGGCATACGATACAGTAATTTTGTTCTCTTGCTATCTGAATCGGGGGGCCTCTTGTGAACAGAAGGTACCATTTTGCAGAATTGTGTGGTGGTTTTGTGGTTGTGGGGGTGATGGAAACGTATGGAAAAGGCGCTACTAAGCATTTTTGAAGAGAAAAAGTATTACTAGCTGCATAACCGAAACTTTAGCTGGTCAAGCTCCACAGCACAAGGCCAGTTTGTTTTCTAATGAAGTGGTTTCAATGGAACAGCTGTAGGGAAGAATTTGGCCTATGAAGTTTAATGATTAGTTGCTGCTTAATTGCTTGTTGCTTTTGAGGACAGAAACTTGCCACCAGGAATGCTTCTTTCTCTCTGATCCTTGCTATGTTGTTTCCGGTTGACCCGAGTTCAAATATTTACCAGGCTAAAAATTATATCCAATATATAAAAATTACATATGGTGGAAACATCAGGTGTGTGTTCTTAAGTATCTTTCCAAATTATAAGGTACGTGAGTTCAGCATGAGGAATAAAATCTCAGCTGATGGGTGTGTGGATTTTTTGGGGGTACTCACTGCCAGAATTTCAAATGTCACTGAAGGGGATAAAACTGAGGAGAATAGATTGGGCAAATCTTGGGCTTTCCCCTTCTAAATAACTCGTCTCTGACCTCTGCAACTTAATTAGCCAAGTCTCTCTGAATGGAGGCAGCTGTATTAGGTTAGCACACTGCATGTGTGCTCAGCGTTTGGCACCAGCGTTTGCTGTTTTCCAGAAAAAGATGGCAAATTCTCCCTGTGTTCAGTCCAGGCTATTGATACAACAGTGCTTGGAGCTGAGAGTGACTGAGGGTGGCCACAGACCTTTGGGAGCTGCAACCCCAAACAGCTGCAATAAGTTCTCCAGTGACACTGAAACAGGCAGTAGCTTAAAAGCGAATAATCCCTTCTTTTCAGGAAGTTTGTCTTGGGAAAAAAACCCCTGAGATTCTTCTAATTGTGCTAATTTTCAGTAGTTTGCAACATGCTTTTGTTCGAGTCTGTGTGAATTATGCTGGTGTCAAATCTACAGCTCTGCCACAGTGAATCGCTGCTGGTCCTGGTGACAGAAACAGGGTCCCAGACCCTTTGTGGGTCTGTGCCTTTATGAGAGAGGGAGGTAGGTATCTCAAATGCCTTAAAATCTACTTGTCTACGTCCCATTTCCAAAACTTGCCCAGTGGTTAGGGCAGTCTTTGCCAAAGGCGAGCAGGACTTGGCTTCCCCGGAGCTGGCAGGAGAGCTGAAGAGCTGCATTAATGTTGCTGGGAACTGGTATTTCCACAAATCCTAATGCTGCACCGCTGGAACGTATGGTGGGCTGAGGAGCAGAACAGCCGTGGTCACTGGTGGCTGCGTGAGGTGGGGTGACCCAACTGCATCACTTCCATCTCCAGGAGGGACGGGCAGCGCGGCTGGCGGTGGCACCCGAGAGGGTGTTGTGGCTTGCAGAGAAGGAGGGTAGTCAGATTCAACCTTTTAATGAAAAAAGGCTTCTCCACATCTGCAGCACTTTGTATTGATTTCTCAATGAAGTGAGTGAGGTCTCCATAAAGTTCTTCTGGCTTTGTTTTCCTCGCTAGAGTCTTCAAGGCAACAGTAGCCCTGTCTCAAACTTCTAGGGGTTTGGGTGGGACGGGAGTGTTGGGGTTTCTTTGGTGGGTTTTGGCTTTGTGTTTTGTTGGTTTGTGTTTGGGTTTTTTTCCAGTGTTGTTCTCCTGAAGCACAGATAACACAAAACAGGTCATGCATGAAGCAGACCTGATGCCTTCCTTTAAAGAAAATGACCTTGGGTTACACAATGTCTGACAGCACCCAGACGTGTAACATGAATGAAATTCTTGTCTAAAAATTTGGGAGGCAAGATACTGCATTACCAAAGTCCAGCTGAGTGTGTTCATGCTTCACTTGTCTTAACATGTGACTTTCATCTTACTTTTTCAGTTTCCATGTGCATAATTGGAAAGTGCAGGTAGGGAGAGCATACTTCTAGAAACATAGAATGGCTGCTCACCTAATGTAGGTAAACTTTGCACGATTTACTGAGAAAACAAACGTCTGCCCTTTGAAAGTTAGTTGTCTGAGTGGGAAAGAATTGTGAAATGTCTCACTGTAGGTTTTGGCTTTGATTGTTTTGGTTTGTTTTTTTAGAGCACTGATTTGGTACAATTAGACACAAACGTATTAGTAGAGTTGCAAGCATACTGTTTTGTACTATGTATGAAATTGACTTGTCAATAAACATATTAGACAGTAGAGTTGCAAGCATACTATTTTGTACTATGTATGAAATTGACTTGTCAAGATCTTTGTTTCTACTTCATATATAGTTGTTTGGTAATAGTATATAAAATACTGGCTCCCTTTAATCTTTGCTCAAGTGCGTTTTTTTTTCTAGAGTCGATTTTGGTTCTTTTGAAACAGGAGTAGTCATGCTAAACAAGCAGCACCATTAAGTCTCATGGGCCTATATTTAGAATGTCTAAAATAGAGAGTGACAACAAACGTGGTATTTGTGGGTTGCCCTGAAGGGCTGCAGTGTCCCGACATCACACGAAGTTGCATAATCTCGGTTGACTCTCCAGACACTGGAAACAAGGAAAGACCAGTTGGATCACCCAAGGAATTTTCTGCCAGGGCAGGCTCCTTCCCTGAGATGCCTCTTCCAGGGGATTGGTTTTTGTCTGGCTTTAAATAATCAAGCAGGACTTCCTTAAACTGGGAGACAGCCTCACGTTTTAAGGTTGCCTTTAGATATAACCATCAAACAGGATCTCCCTTATAATGAAAATTGCTTTTTAAACTCTTTTCTTGGAAAGGTGCTGCTGATACAGCTTAGTTGCCTTTAGATATAACCGACAGGATCTCCCTTATAACGAAAATCACTTTTTAAACTTTTTTCTTGGAAAGGTGCTGCTGATACAGCTTGGAAGCTACAAAAGATGTTACACAGAAGTACAATAATGTAGAAGTTATTTTTATACATATATATATACGTATAGTTGTTAGATACATGGAAATACAGAGAAGGCTTGAACAGACGATGGCTTTCTCCCTCAGTGCTCCTAATCTGCCTTTCCAGCCAAGATTCAGTGCAGGAAAACTTCTTTGCTTTCTTTCAGGGCTGCATCACTTCCTCAACGGTCCTTGTTTTCCTGATGCTTTCGCAGTTGGATTCTGTGTTTTCCCCTCGTTCTGAATCTGTTCTCCCGGTCTGTGCGTACTCACAGCTCAGCTAGATGAATGCCCGTCCTCTCTGCGGGCACAGCCTCCAGTTAAGCATCTGTCTCTACAGAATCCAATTTCTCTGTTGTCTTGAATGTGGCTAGTGTTTGAGGCTTGACTTCTTTCTTTCTTGGTGGTTTTTTTTTTTTTCTTCTCCCAGCTTTCTTACTCCAAAGTCAGTTTTAACTGATACTGATTGATGGCAACTAATTACACTCCGCATTTTCAGTGGAGACTTTTTGCCTAACTTACAGCGTGAATTGAGTTGTAATTCAGAAGATAAAGCCCTGATTTCACTTGTGCAATTGGAACCAGCCCTGAGACACAGGAAGAATTATGCTGGCTTTCCTTTTACGAATGGAGGCAGGGTCGGGTTTTGAGTTGTCCAGTGGATACTAGAAAAGCAGTAATGAGTTGCAAAGCATACAGGCAGTGCTGGAATGTTAGTACCTGGCAGAGCAGGGTGGCATTTCACACAAGCCAGGATGTTTGTTTACTAGAAGATTGTTTATCATTCAGCACAATATTGCAGTAAATTTATGATCACTTACTTCCCTGTTTCTTTTGTCGTCAGTCCCAGTTTGTAAGAAGGATAGGTACAGACAGGGCTCCGTGATCTGTGTTCACTTCCTGATGGCCATCTTCAGTGATGTCAGGCTGCAATGACATACTTGGTTCAAGGGTGATTAATTGCAGAACATTATGCTTTTTACATCAGTGAGATAACTTAAAAAACACACCTTGATAATCATCACAACAGCAAGTAAAGTACAATAGCTTTTGGAGGGTTTGGTAAGTGGAATACATCTGGCTAGCTTGTCTGTGCACAATTTAGACAAGAACATATGAGAAGATCAGTATCTGATGTGCAGGGTGTTCAGTGGGAGCTTTCTTCTGAAAAACATGTTCCTTGTATGATTCACTTTTTCAGGTTTGAAAGAAGAAACTGGTCGTTAAAGCTGGTTCCCTTCCCATGCTATGGGTTGGAATGTCACTTACTGTAACATTACATTGTGCAACAGTTGTGACTGTTGCACGTGTCACCAGGGAAAGTCTGTGGCACACGTAATGGCCAGGTCTGGAAGAATGGGATCAAGGTGCTGCTTTGGAGTTCTGCCTTGTGGAGGCCTTGAGAAGACAAGGAAGAATAGCAAAGACCGTGCAGCCGCCCTCCCCTAAGGAAATGCTACCAGCCTTTTCCCCTCACTGCATTTAGATTTCTTGTTGCCTACTGTTATTGCCAAGAGAATTTTGTTGAACAAAGAAAAAACTGGTCTGTAAAGTGATCCTGAATGAATCCCTTCCTTTTGACTTTCCTTAGGAAGTCAAACCCTTAAATAAGCGTTTTGCTTATTTTTTCTCTTAGGGGAAAAAAATCCCAGGTTTTAGTAGAGATGCAGATGTTCTGCTGAACAAACTGATATGTTGCCTCTTTTCTATGATCTTTTCCCAGTCTGGTTCTAAGGCGCTGTTGCTCTTTGTGGTAAGAGAAGCATGTGACTGGTCTTTGCCTCAGAGTCTAGTTTGAGTTGAAAGGCTGGCAGTTTGGGAAATTATCCTTCAAGTTTTAATGCAATTA